CTAGTTAACGACTAATCGTATATACTTTTATTTAATATATTATTATAGCTATTACTATTATAGTATTTACTACTCTTATAATTAATACTATTATAGCTAATATTATTATATTTATTATTATTATAGCTATTATTATTATAGTTACTATTATTATAACTATTACTTACTATTATAACTATTACTATTATAGCTACTATCGAAATATAACTTTCGCGTATTCTAGTTATTATATTCTTTAATTATCTAATTTTATACTATATTTAAAATCTAGTCTCGAAGAGATTTTAAAGAATTAATTTATTCGTTCTATATATTATATATCTAATATTTTAATAGCTATTACTATTATAGCTATTACTATTTATTATTTAAATAATTTATTATTATATAATAGTTATAATAGTATTAATTATAATAGTATTAATTATAATAATATTAATTATAATAATATTAATTATAATAATATTAGTTATAATAATATTAATTAAAATAATATTAATTAGAGTAATATTAATTAGAGTAATATTAATTAGAGTAATATTAATTAAAGTAATATTAATTAAAATAATATTAATTAAAGTAATATTAGCTAGAATAATATTAATTAAAATAGTATTAGTTAGAGTAATACTAGTTAGAGTAATATTAATTAAAATAATATTAATTAAAATAATACTAGTTAGAATAATATTAATTAGAATAATATTAATTAAAGTAATATTAATTATAAAAGTATTAATTATAATAGTATTAGTTATAATAATATTAGTTATAATAGTATTAGCTATAATAAATTAGAATAATAACTAGAATAACTACTTATACTTTTAAATATAGAAATTCTTATCGAGATATCTTATATATATATTATTTTATAATATAATATTATAGATATATTATATCGTAATATATATCGTTAAGATCTTATACTATACTAGATATAAAATTATATAAATCTTAATAACTTATATTATATTAGAGTATAGTATAATATATTAATATTTTATATTATATTATATCTTTTTAACTAGTAGATTTAATAAAAGAATCGATTTAGATAATATTAAGAGATATTTAATAACTATAAGTATATTAGAGAATTAACTTAAAGTATTATATTATTAAATATTAATATAAACTTTACGTAAACGTCTAATATAACGTCTATTAATCTATAAATATAAATCTTTAAATATTACTATTAAATATTAAGAAATTATTATAATTTAACTTATATATATATATAGTATAAAAGTTATTAACTATTCTATATAATTTATAAATAAATATATACGATACTAAGTTTACGCTAGTAACTATATAAGTATTTCTAAGATATCTTATAATATATAGTCTAGTAAGTTAACTCTAACTCTAATAATTCGCTTTATATACTTTTATTTAAGAGTTATTTTTAGAAGATAGCTATTACGCGTATAGTCTTTATCTAGTAAATATATAGTCTTTATTTATTAGATATATAATTCTTTTAATTAAGTTAGCGATTACGTAAAAATTAATAAATATTAATTAAAAATAATAAAGAATTTATATTTAGTCTCTTTAAGATTCTTATAAAAATACTTAATAATAATAAGATAAGCCTTTTTATATCTCTTATTACGTTTTCGATATAATATAAGAAACCTTACTAGCGTAACTCCTTACTAGCGTAACTTGGCATATCGCTTTCTTTTCTTTCTTCGAGAACGTTTATAGCTTAATTATTATTCAATCACAATCAGAATCAAGAAACACCTTTCCCTTCTTCGTGAAACTCCTTTTCAGAAGTATATGTATGCTTCTTACATAGTATTTCTAATACTTTATAGATTTATAATTTTAAATAATTTTAATTTATTAATTAATAAAGTTTTTAAAAAAAAAAAATATAGCGATAGCTAATTAACTAACTACTCTCTTTACTTACTATAAAAAATACGTTTATTATATTTAAATATTTACTATCTATCGACTACTTAATCTTTCTATATTTAAAATATATTAAATATAATTTTATTACTCTATATATAGATTTATATAATATTATCTTATTATTCTTATATAATATTACGCTACGTAACGAGACGAAATAGAGCGAGATTTTAAATATCTAATACTACTTCGCTTCGAGTCGAGATTTTAACGAGATAAGATTAGATCGAGATAGAATTTTTCTCTCGAGATAATAAAGATATTCTATTATCTCGCTAAGTTTATTAATTAGATTAGCTCGAGACTATTATCTTTATAATATTTCTATTATACTTCTTTAAATATATATTCTAAGTATCTTTCTAAGTATTTATATTTATACTCTAATTTAGATTATAATATCGTATTTATACTATATAATAAGACGAGATAAGACGAGATTTCGAATATTTAATACTATCTCGCTCTAAGACGAAGTTTTAACGAGATGAAATTAAGTCGAGATAGTATTTTTTTATCGAGATAATAAGAATATCTCGTTATTCTCGCTAAGTATTTAATTAAGTTAGCTCGAGGCTATTATCTTAATAATATTCTTATAACGTCTTTATAACGTCTTCGTATTTTCTTAATCTTATATATCTTATTATCTTTCTAAATATCTATATCTTATACTTTAATTTAAACTATAATATCGTATTTTCTATTCTATTTTATTCTATTCTTAATATATTTTATTAAAATTTAGAGAGGTTACTTAGAGATACTTAGAGTTTATCGAGATAATGAAATATACTCTAAAACCCCGTTCTCGAGTCGAGACGAGGTCGAGGTTTCGAGCGAAAACTCGAATCTCTAACCCCCTTCGAAACTTCGTTAAGATTTTATACCTTATTATATAGCGTAATTATATTCTATATTTTATTTTATTTTATTTTTAATATATTTTATTAAAATTTAAAGAGATTACTTAGAGATATTTAGAGTCTATTAAGTTAATAAGATATATCTTAAAATTTCATTTTCGAGTTAAGACGAGATTAAGATTTTAAGAAAACTCGAAATTTTAATTCAAAATCCTATCTCAACCTCGACTCCCTTCGAAATTCTATTAGAGTTATTACGAGCGTATTCTTAATATATCTCTTAGCTTTATAACTAGCGAGTCTTAACGAAGATATCTTCTATTATATTATATCTTCTTTCTATTTATATAATTCGATATCTTAGTTATCTTATTTAATATATCTATATTAATATTATATCTATATCGATTCTAATACGAGTTTCTCATCTCGTTACGTAGTATATATAATATTATTATCTCGCTATTTTTCTCTTATAATTTATTTAATCTATTTATCTTATTATTATTCTTATATAATATTTAATTATTAAAATAATTATTATAATAATTATAAATTCTTTTATTATAATATTTTAATATAGAGATAAATATAGAGATAGATATAAATATAAATATACGCTTTAATCTTTATTTATTAAATAAAAAATATAAATAAACTATAGAATAAGAGTTAATTCTATTATTATATTCTACTATAAAGATATTTAACTCGAAGATACTAGATACGAGTTTTTTACTATTTTATATTAGATTTTATTAGTTTTCGCGCGATCGCTAATTTAATTAAGGGGGTTATACGCCTAGTAGATAAGAGTTATATATTTAATAAATAAGAGCTATACGCGTAATAGCTATCTTTTAGAAATTTCAATTACGTTAAAACTATACTTCTTAATTTTTCACTTATAGCTTATATAAAAGTTTCTAAATTAAGTTTCGAAGATTAGTATTAAGATTTTAAAGCTACTATTCGAATATAAAGTTATTAATTACTATACGTCGTTGATAATAAATTTTTAAAAATCGTATATTTTAGTAGTTTAAGCGTCGATCATTAATTTGACGTAGTCGAAAATTCTAGAAATAACCCTCGGCTATTGGGGGTATTTAATTCGTATTAAATTCGATTTCTAATAACGCTAGTACAATGATATTGCGGTGCTTTTTATTTTCTTCGGCCCTTATAGGGTCTTCGAGGATCTGGTCTATGGCCCTTAAAATGTTTAAGTGCTAATTCGGGCCGATCGTGTCGATTGTACCTTACATTACAGATCGTGCTGATAGTAAGACGTATTTCGCTTGCTGATCCTGCTATCTGGGCCGGACATAAGCTGATTTGTGCTATACCGGCAAAATGGTTTGTGAAGCTAGGGGAGCCGGGAGCTTCGGGCCGATCTACGCAAGTCCATGAGTAGTACGATTAACACGAATCGGCAGAATTAACTCCTTTCTTGAATATGGCAATTCACACACTTTTTTCCCGAAATTTCTAGCATTAGGTAGTCTCTAGTCCACGTGGGTATGACTACGGATTACCGATGCTTCAACAAGTGTTTCAGTTCCGGTCATCACTTCGATCGCCGCCGAGATGGGGCCTTCCCTCTAATTGTCAGGTCTCAATGCAACAACACTTTGTCTGGACCCGTGTCCGCTTTTGCAGCTTGCTCCGCCACATTGTATGTTGGCCGGCACCGTGTCGAATCATCTCAAGCCTGTTATCAGCAACCCTTTTTTAACGGGTCAAGACGTCTGGAACATGCAGAAAGGGGCGGCTGCAGGCAAGGCTGGAAAGCGCCTTGCTTACTGCCGTCTTACCGCATAACGAGGGTGACCATCAAGCACTTTAAATCGTGCCCCGCACTCGGCTCGCTGACGAGTACACAACACCACTAGGCATATTTCTAGGGTTCCATTTTAGATAGTGTGCGTCCATACTGCCTGCAAAAGGAAGTTCGTTTGCAGTCAAAATGGGGGCATGACCAGGTTGATGTGGTTAATCGGATCGTCACGATGTTTCAATCACTCTTCGCTACACAAGAATCCTGCAGTCCATGATAGGATTCTGGCAAGGCTGAAGTGATGAACCACAGTATATATAAGTGGGGGGAATAGCGTTCTTCGCTCAGTATCTTGCCTTCCCTGAGACTCATAGGCTCCACACAAAAATCACTCGACATATCAATAACTATTTTTCAATATGTACGGAGTCGCTAGTTTCATCGTCACGGCCATTTTGTTTCCACTGCTTGGCTTTTTAGCCGTATGCTCGAGATTTTATACGCGCATCCGTCTTACGCCCACCTTTGTGGGTATCGACGACTGGCTGATTGCTTTCTCCTGTCTTCTGGTTCTAGGCCAAGGTGCTTCTCAGATCGTTGGTATGATACTAAAGCCTCTTCGTCTTAATCAGAACGAGTCAGTAGAGAAAGGCTTGAAGTAGAGATCTTTCTGACTCGTATATAGGCGCTGTCATAGGATCGCTTGGGAGAGATAACGAGCCGACTGTTGAATGGCGCGAGGCAAATCAGGCCAAGGTATAGTCCTTTAAAAGCCATCCTGTTCTACTTTTGAAGAATAATAACGCTTTGCTAACTTAACATTTATCATAGATTAATTATGCCACCATTATCGTCGAGAAAGTCACATACAGTTGTATCAAACTCAGCGTTCTCTTCTTCTACCGTCGTATCTTTCTTCGGCAAAAGTCATTTCGAATCGCGAATAATATCCTGGTCATTCTCATCGCGCTCTGGGGTCTCGTGTTTTTGTTATTGCAGGTGGTTCTTGAAACTGACAATGAAACTCTCGCTCTGCCTCGGGGCTCGCAGGAGTGGTTACTGTTGTGGTTTGCTATCACGGATGTATTGGGTGATATTGCGGTTCTTGCGCTGCCATATCCGTGTATTCGCAAGTTACAGATGAGCAGACGATTCAAAGTCGAGCTGAGCTTCGTGTTTTTGCTGGGCACGCTGTGAGTCGAACCGTCTTCTTGCGCATAGGCAATGAGTATTGCTTGAACACTGACTCGTTATAGATCACTTGTCTTCGGCGTAGTACGACTATACTTCGTTGCAGTTAATTTTGCTAGTATGCCTCCTCTACATAGCATACGTTTCTTAATCAGCAGTTGGTGGTATCCGCTTAAAAGGCAAATACTAACCTGGTACAGTCTTCTTTCATCCTCCAAAAACGACTCCGAAGGCCCATTCCGAGCCAACCTTCTGGACGACGGCCGAAGTCTCAATCGGCCTTTTGGCAGCCTGTCTTCCCCCTCTAAAGCCTCTGCTTGAAAAGATGGGCGGCGCCTTAAAACGTAGTCTTGTCTCATTTCGTGCGAGCAGGAGCAGAAAATCCGAAAGATTGTCGAGTGTCGAAAACATTGCGAAGATTGACGGCTTCAACGAGGTGAAGTTGGAGGCAGCAAAGGGGACAGAGTATGAGATGACCGACTTCGACAGAATCGAAGTGGAGGAATAGGCGGGTATTTAGCAATGCCATGTGAGGCGTACCATGTCATTCACCATCTCAAAGGGTACTCTTGATGCCACGGTCTAGATCGTTGCCAAGTCTCATATTCCACCTTCTAGTTCGCTGAAATGTACCACATCCGGCGCATGGCTGCTATTTCCATAAACATCCCCTCCGTAAGTGAGATACCCCTCAATGTCCGCCTTCGGCACTGCCAACACTTGCTCAGCATCACCAAACACCCACACGGTCTGCATACCCATGATCATATGCTGCAGCGTATGACAGTGGATCATCCACACCCCAGGCTGCTGCACCCTCAACCTCCACGCGCGCCACCCTTGCTTTTCGTTTGGTTGCGTTGTCGCATTGTAGCGGAAGAGCATCGTCGTGTCCCGAAGCACCGGTTCGGTGCCCTTCAGTCGCTCTTCGGCAACTTTGGGGTCGAAGGCTCCCGGCCCGCCTCCGATGTCGTAGTAGTGTTCGCCGTGGGCATGCCACGGGTGGACGTCGAGCCCGCCACCCGTTTCATTGTCGATGGCGTGAGCGCCAATGTTCTGGAGCACTATCTCCAATACTTCGCCGACTTTGGCAGGGAAGGTGTTCGTCGATGGGTCGAGGCCACCGTTCTTCACGGCTGCCGAGTAGGACGGCGTGTAAGCGGTTTGGTTCTTGTACAGCGACACGAGATATGGCTGGCTTGGCGTGGTGTGCGGGATCGAGTCGTTCGTGTCGGCCGTCCAGGTTACGCTTGAGTCCTTCCAGATGATGTACTTGTCCAGGATTTGCTGCACGTTGAGGACGACCCGGCGTGTCACCTGTGAAACAGAGGGGAAGTCGTTTGGATAGAGAGGTTGTAGGACGTAGTCGAGAAAACCGTCGACGGTCGGTGGGAGTGCGATGGGCTTTCGGTTTGGGTAGGTCGTGTTTGAAGCGCTCTTGGAGGGATCCGAAGGGATCATGCAAGAATTGTTATAGCGAAGGATGGCGTAATTCGTTGTGTTGCTCGGACGCTCACGGCTCTCGATCTGAATGTAGTAGTCGAGTTTTCCGGACTGCTTCAGCTCATTGCAGGTATTGGATTTGAGAAGCGCGCTGAAGCGCTGGCCAGAACCAATCTGGAGGAAGGTGGTGGAGTGTGGTTTGGTGTAACCGCCATCAGCTTCGATGACTTGTAGATCGGTATGATCTTCGACTCCCAATGCAGAGTACGATAGGGAGTGACCTCCAATGAAACGCACCCTGTACAAGCTGTTTGGCTCTATATCAATGATTGCAAGTTGGGAGGATGATTGGTCGGTCACACCAAAGTTCGAGATTGTCTTGCCGTTGATAATGAACCCATTTGTTTCACCACTCCACACGAAAGGCGTTGCCTGCAACCCCTGCTCTATGGTTGTGTCTGTCTCATTGAAGAGCTCTTGAATATGAACGACCAGGTCGCCATCAACTTCATACGGGGGGACTTTGTCCTCGACGATCAATGGACCGGAGCAGCTGACGGCCTGGAAGCCTACGTGAGAGTGATAAAAGTACGTTCCTGCCGATCCATTGGGCATATGGAGTTCATAGTCAAAAAAATGTTGGGGAGGTATGGGCCATTGACTGGCGAGTGGTGTTCCGTCGGAAAATGGATAGGCAGCCATTGCGAGTCCATGCCAATGCTAAATATTTTCTCAATTAACTAAAAGAGCATGAGGAAGAAGAAAATAAAAAGCACCGCAGCATCATTGTACCAGCGCCGTTAGGAATCGAACCTAATACGAACTAAATACCCCCAACAACAGAAGAGGAAGGGGACCATTTGTCTGGTTATTCAACTCACCATAGTAAGATTTTGACCTTTCATATCATTGTAAACCCTGATCCAAGCTATTTCGTTTTCCGGCACACGAAGCTCGGGTCCAGGAATGGATCCGTTGACCAGCGTTGTGAGCCTTTGAATCCCTCCTAGACTGATATTTTGCACCGTGACGCGCAATATCGCGTCGGGCGAAAAGGAGCCATCGTGAATGATTGCTGTCACATCATAAGGGATAACAAAAGGGAATAGCAGCAGAAGAGAATAACGATAAGACAGTTTGACTGGCATCATGATCAACGCCCATAAAGAGCAAGACATCACTGGAGCTTTGTGAAAAGCCTTTTCGAATGACAAATCCTGGTGACAATAAGTGCTGTGTAGGCATGTTTTAAGAGATCTTTCCGTCAGCCTTGCGAGATATATGGATTCTTCCGCGGACCAGGGTCAGTGTCAGTTGGCTCCCTTAAGCAGCTGAACGAGTCCTGAGCGCACCGCGCATCACGCAAATGCACGCACACCTTTTTGGTTGCGCACCAGCGTGACGCTTATCTTACATGTTACTTTGACTGACTGTATATTAGTGGCTGGAAAGATATGGAATATTCAATGGTGTCGTGGTTTCATGGTTTTGTACGCGCTCAGCACCAAAAGCATGTCAATTCAAATATCATTCAGATTATACATTGAGTCCCTGACATAATTCTACTACCCCTTCTCTTTACGCTCCCATTTAGCAGTTTCTTCGAGTAGTTACTTTATGTTACGAACCTACCCTTACCTTAACACTCCTTTTCATGATACTTCCGCATTAGAACTGGCGTGTATTGGCAGAGACTAGATAGGTTTAGCAACGAATTTTAAAAGAATAATTTAAAGCGGGAATAGTTCTACTCTTCTACCGCTAACTCGATTAGGTAATATCACGGACTTCGACGAAACCTTTATCGAAGAGTTATAAATCTCTTTAAATTTCACTTATTCTTCTTCTTTTATTATATATATATATTATAAACTTCTTTAATAATAGGGCTCTCGTTATAACGATTTTTATAGTTATATTACTAGACTATTAAGCTATAATCGCTATTATATTATATTATAAATATATTCTTTTAATAAAGTATAAGTAAATCGAGTTTAATTAGCTAGATATAACTATAATAGTTCGAATAACTAAAATAATTAAGATATTTCTATAGCTGCGATAATCTAAATAGCTAAGATAATTAAAATATTTCTATAGCTGCGATAGCTTAAATAGCTAAAGTAGCTAAGATATCTCTATAGCTGCGATAGTCTAACTAGCTAAAATAGCTAAGATATCTCTATAGCTGCGATAGTTTAAATAGATAAAATAATTAAAACTTCTTTATAGCTGCGATAGCTAAGATATTCTTATAGCTGCGATAGCTTTAATAGCTGAAATTACTAAGATATTCTTACGGCTGCGGTAATTCAAGTAGTTGAAATAACTAGAATATCTCTATAGCTGCGATAGCTTTAATAGCTGAAATTACTAAGATATTTTTATAATTGCGATAGTTTAAATAGTTAAAATAATTAAAATAGTTATATAACTACGATAGCTTAAATAGTTAAAATTATTAAAATATTCTTACGACTACGATAGTTTAAGTAGTTAAAATAGTTAGAATATCTTTATAATTACGATAACTCGAATAGCTAAAATTACTAAGATATTCTTATAACTATAATAATCTAAATAGCTAAAATAGTTAAAATCTTCTTATAATTATAATAGTCTAAATAGCTGAAATAACTAAAATATTTTTATAGCTACGATAGCTTCGATAGTTAAAGTAATTAAGATATCTCTAGAGCTATAATAGCTTAAATAACTAAAATAGCTAAGATATTCTTACGACTACGATAGCTTAAGTAGCTAAAGTAATTAAGATATCTCTATAGCTGCGATAGCTTTAATAATTAAAATTATTAAGATATCTTTATAGCTACGATAGTCTAAATAGCTAAAATAACTAAAATATCTCTATATTTACGATAGTTTAAATAGCTAAAATAGCTATCGAGATAAGATATCGAATAATTTCAATTCGTTTAAATATATATTATTCGATAGATAACTCTTATCTATAGAGATTTAATTAACTATAATCGACGTAATAGATTCTTCTCTTATATACTTATTATAGTAATATATTATAATATAATATTATCTAGATACGCGAAGATAGTAAGTTAAATTATAGTATTATTCTTCGCTTATTATATAGTAATTTAACGTGAAATTATAGAGAGTATATAATATAAGATCTTAAAGAGCTAAGCGATATTCTTAACGATAATAATCTTATTATCGCTTAGTCTCTTCGTAATATTCTTTATATTTATCTATTACGATAATCTCTTCTCTTACTTAACTAAGTACTCTAGCTAAATAGCTAACTAAGTAAATAATTAAGTAAATTAATATAAGATTATAGAGAGTAGATTTATTATATTACTATTACTACTAACTATCTTCGTAATAATCTCCGTATTTATCTACTATAGTAATTTCTTCTCTTACTAAGTATCGAGCTAGTATAAGATCGTAAAGAGTAGATCTATTATATTACTACTGCTACTGACTATCTCCGTAATTCTCTTCGTAATATATTATTCCTCCTCTTATAGAATATTAGACTAAGTAACTAATTGAGTAGCTAACTAAATAAATTGATGTAAGATTATAAGTAAAGGCCTATGAATTAAATTCATAAAGTTGAATTTTTCTAAGTTAAATCGAATTTTAGCCCTAGCCCTAAGTCAAATCGAACTCTAATCGCTTACTGTGCGTTTTTAACCTATATATAAGTATATATATATGAAGAGAGGCGCGCTAAGGCCTAATTAGAAAGGTATATTAAGTATAGAGAATTAATTCGTAATAATTACCTATAAAAAATAGAGAAAGACCACGTTCTTATAATAAGAAGTATCGAAATATCGAAAAGAAATAAAGATAACGTGCTAATTAATGGTATAAATTCTATAATATCTTCTACCGTAGTAAAATCTTTCGAATAATAAAATAGCTGTAGACATCGAACGATTTCAATTCGTTTAAATATATATCGTTCGATATTTCTTCTATAGAGGCTTAATTAACTATAATAGTAGATTCTTCTCTTATAACGTTATTGTAGTAATGTATCATATTAATATAGTAAGAATAATAGACTAAGTTATAGTAATATTCTTCGCTTACTAAGTAATAATTTAATATAAAACCGTGGAGAGTATATAACGTGGAATCTTGGAGAGCTAAGCCGTGTTCTTAACGATAATAGTCTTATTGCCGCTTGATTTCTCCGTAGTATTCTCCGCATTTGCCTATTATAGTTCCTTCTCTTACTCCTCAATATAGTAGAAATAACAGGTCAAGTTACAGTGGTATTCTCCGCTTACTAAGTAATGATTTAATATAAAACGATTAAGTTGCAGTGGTATTCTCCGCTTACTAAGTGATAATTTAATATAAAACCGTGAAGAGTATATAACGTGGGATCTTGGAGAGTTGAGCCGTGTTCTTGACGATGATAGTCTTATTACCGCTTGATTTCTCCGCAGTATTCTCCGTAGTATTCTCCATAGTGTTCTCCGCATTTGCCTATTATAGTTTCTCCTCTTACGATATTTCTTCTATAGAGGCCTAATTAACTATAATCGTCGTAGTAGATCCTCCTCTTATAACGTTATTGTAGTAATGTATTATATTAATATAGTAGGGATGATAGGCCAAGTTGTAGTGGTGTTCTCCGCTTACTAAGTAATGATTTGATATGAAATCGTAAAGAGCATATAACGTGAGATCTTGGAGAGCTGAGCCGTGTTCTTGACGATGATAACCTTGTTGCCGCTTAGTTTCTCCGCAGTGTTCTCCGTAATATTCTCCGCAGTATTCTCCGCATTTATCTATTGTAGTTTCTTCTCTTACTTCTTAATGCAGTAGGGATAACAAGCCAAGTTGTAGTGGTGTTCTCCGCTTACTAAGTAATGATTTGATATAAAACCGTGAAGAGTATATGACGTGGGATCTTGGAGAGCTGAGCCGTGTTCTTAGTGCTGAGGGCCTTATTGCCGCTTAGTTTCTCCGCAGTATTCTCCGCATTCGCCTATTATAGATCCTTCTCTTACTCCTCCTCTTATAGAGTATCAAACTAAGTGGCTAGCTAAGTAGCTGACTGAGTGAATAATTGATATAACGTGGGATCTTGGAGAGCTAAGCCGTGTTCTTAACGATGGTGACCTTATTGCCGCTTAGTTTCTCCGCAGTGTTCTCCATAGTATTCTCCGCAGTGTTCTCCGCATTTGCCTATTATAGTTCCTCCTCTTACTCCTTAATGCAGTGGGGATGATAGGCTAAATTGTAGTAATGTTCTCCGCTTACTGAGTGATGATTTGATATAAAATCGTGGAGAGTATATGACGTGAGATCTTAAAGAGCTGAGGCGTGTTTTTGACGATGGTGGCTTTATTACCGCTTGATTTCTCCGTAGTATTCTCCGTATTTATCTATTATAGTTCCTTCTTTTACTCCTTAATATAGTGGGAATAATAGACTAAGTTGTAGTGATATTCTTCGCTTACTAAGTAATGATTTAATATAAAATCGTGAAGAGTATATAACGTGGAATCTCGGAGAGTTAAGCCGTATTCTTGACGATAATAGCTTTATTACCGCTTGATTTCTCCGTAGTATTCTCTAGTATTCTCCGTAGTATTCTCCGCATTTATCTATTATAGTTTCTTCTCTTACTTCTTCTCTTATAGAGTATTAAACTAAGTAATTAGCTGAGTAACTAATTAAGTAAATTA